GAATGTACAAATGTGCTTTATACAATCGACGTATGTATGGATTGTGATAAGAGTTGTATGAGCCCCCGATAAAATGATTGGAAAAAAAGAGTTACAGTCTCAGAAACCCATCGGTGTACAAGGGGAACTTAGGCGCAAGGGGCTACCCGCTTTGCGAGGGGGCAAAACCCACCAAACCACCCGCTGAAATACCCATGCACCTCATTTACATAAACGACCTTGTTCTTGTCACTCTCCTGGACACCTTACCATGACACCTGCTCCTCACTTATCAGGGAGATTGGTGTCTAGAGACGCTGTCATGTGAAAACAGGCGTTGTGTGAAAATGGAGGAGGAGCCTATCAGATCACAATAGAGGGTGACTAGATTGTGTCACCACTGCCAAAGTACATCATTATGTAACCGACAGACTGCATCATTACATAATTGCCAGATCACATCATTACTTCACTGACAGATTACATCGTTATGTAACTGCCAAATTGCATCATCATCGTATAATTGCCAAGCTACACCATCACATAATCATCAAATCACACCATCAAATAATTGCCAAATTACATGATTGGATAATTGACAGGTTACATCATTACATACTTGTCAGATTACACTATTACTTGTCAGATTACACCATCACATACCTTTACAATGCCAACATTTCTTAACGGAAAGATGGCCTCATTACGTAACTGCCAAATCCCATTACATCATCACCAAATCCCATTGTTCTGTAATCACCAAATTAGATCATTACATAACTGCCAAAACACTGAGAACCAAGGCCCACCTCAAACATTGGCAACTCACAAAGCAGTCAAGAGAGTGTAGAGTTTCTACTATTTTCATAAACGTGAACTGATGGGTAACAAACAGTTAGTAAAGGAGGAGTTGGTGTATTGAAAAATCGAAAAAGCTAACAAATCCTCGGAAGAGAAGCGCACGTGCCACACACCGCAGGCCGCCCGTTTGAGTGATTCCCAAGCGCTCCCTCTGAGCCTGGGTGAAGCACAGCGCTGCTCCCCCAGCGGAGTTGGCAGGTGGTGCGAGCCTCAGGTTACAAAGGCAACCTTCGGAGCAGAGAGCATCCTGGACTCTCCCCTCTGGGGCACAGCAGGTGCGCAGCTGAGCACAAAGGAAGACATAGGCCGCCGGTGGCCAGAGGCCACTTTGGCTGGGAAGTCCATGCAGTGGCACTCACAGTGGGAAGCCAGTCACCGGCCATGAGAGGAAGCAGACACACTCAGCTTTGTTCTTCGGTCCCTCGGGGATCTGCTTCATCTGCGCTCTCTTTAATTAACTTACAGAAAACTAGGACAGATTCACTGCCACGGAGTCCATTCTGGTTTGTGGCGGCCCTCTCAGGCAGGGTCCAATTGCCTCTGTGGGTCCCCGAGACCCTGAATCTTTTCAAGAACGCTAAGTCTCATCTTTCTCCCTCGGAGCAGCTAGCTGGTCATTTGGATCTGCTGACATTGAGGTCAAAAGCCCAATGGGTAGCACAGTGCACCACCAGGGCCCTTAATGTAAGACACGTTTATTAAGCCTTAAACAGGACAAAGACCAATCACTTGGATGAGAGGGAGACCCTCTGCCTGGTGTCGTCATGGTGTCCAAGGATTCATGATTAAGTAGAGAAGGGGAGCAAAGGAGCTTTGTGCAAAATCATGGTTCAAGGGAGATTGAGTCAGCACAGTTGCAGGCAGAATTGTAGGGCTGGAGACGGGGCAACGGTTGGGATATCTGCACTATTGTAGATGAGAAAAGTGTACAAGAGTGGTTTAGGGCTTACTAACCAAAGCACTTAAAATATGATTCATGATCACGAGGATACTAGTAATTCCATGAAAGGCACACTCTGACTAGGCCCTGTCGGTGAGATGGCCGACCCCTCCCCATGCTGGCCACAGGGGTGGTCATAATCCACTTGCAGACACACCCGGCTTCTCTTACACTGCTGGTCAGTGGTCAGAAAGAACTCAGTGGAGGCTGGACCTACGTGGAGACTCAAAAGAGATTTAGGGCTCTCACTGTAGACCATAGCCTTCCACAAAGCTAGAGCTCAGATTTGAAGCCGCGGTGCAGCTCCTCCTCTGATTATGGATTTTATTAAAATCCTTTGCTCACACTTTGGTTGATGTGCTGACTTCTGCATGGGCCACTTGACAGCTTCCTCAGACAGCTGCTTGTATTAGGATAAGCCTTTAAGACCCCTGATGGCATTCTCTCCAAGACAGGGCATTATCTGATATCCCTTTTTTTTTTCCATCTGATACTTTTACCAAGCTTTGCTATAGCCCCATATCTTCTATGATGATTCATGAGGGTAAGTATAAAGCAGGGACACTTTGTAAAAATGAATTGTTCTTGTATGGACTATGATAAGAGTTGTATGTACCCCATTGTTCTTAGATTAGGTCTTATGCTTTAAGGTGCCAGCTCAACTCCATTCATAGAATATATGTTGTTTGCATATCTGTGATCCACTTCTAAGGTAGCATATTAGCCTTCTGAGAAATGATATCATCAGTAATCTACGCAACATTTGTTCATCTGCTCTTTTGTGTCTCAGAAGATTTTCCTTAAAATGCACCTACACTAATAATACATCAACATAACAAACAAACAACCCATTCCCAAATGGGATTATAACCATAGGTATTGTCAGATTTACAACATATGTGAAGGAGCTTTGAAAATGTAGAGGAAAACGGAATTAAAAGATGATGGGGGGAGGTGTACTAGAACTAGTTGTGGTGATGTATGGACAACTCTTTTTAAAAGTGACCTAGGGAGCCTGGTGGTATAGTGGTTAAGCATTGGGTTGCTATCCGCATGGTCAGCAGTTTGAAACCACCAACTCCATGGGAGAAAGACTGGGCTTTCTACGCTTGTAAACAGTTACCGTCTCAGAAACCCACGGGGGTGGGGTGGGGTGTTGTCACATTGACTTGAAGGCAGTGAGGTGTTTTTCTTTGAGAACTATGGAAGGTGTGTGATAGGTGAATTCTATGCACAACGATTGAAGACAGATAAATGATGGGATTTCCCCACAAATCTTGGAAGCCTCCTTGTTTTGGGGGGAAAGGGAAGTGGGGGGGGGCACAATTCAATTCCATGATAGTCGGCTAAGGCCCCTGTATGGAATTCCACTACGGAGCAGCCTTTGGGAGAGGAAATCCCGTCAAAACAAAAAATGCGTTGAGTTGAATCCACACAAGGTGACACCTGCTCCAAAGGGGTTTCCTAGGCAGTGATCACAGGGAAGCAGATCACCAGGGATTTCCTCCACACTGCTCCCGGTTGGATTTGGCCTGCCAGCCTTTTGGTGAGCAGCCGATAAACGGCAGATCATTTGAGCCTCCCAGGAGACATCTTCCCTCTCCAACCAAGTGCTCAGACACAAACCTGGCGAAGGGGCCACCCTGGGCCTTCTCCCCATCTGAAGCCAAGGAGAATGAAGAATATCAAAGTAACAGACCAT